GTTTAGGCCTGTGCTGACTGGTGGGCCTGAAACACATTTTAAGGAAGTTCGTTTGTGTACTTGGGGCGAGGAGCGGAAAAGGGAGTGTCTGTAAGACTGGCGATTTGTGTTGTCAGGAGTGGAAAGTCAGGCCACGGCAAGGAATTACAGCCCCTCTGCCAAGGGCTGGAAGAGGTTTCAGCTTCTGGTTTGTTAGCTGGAAAAACGTTCAGTCTTCCACTTTAGACTCCTCTGGGAGACCAAGATCAGTCAGCCTTAATGACTTCACCGTCACCAAGTTGATAATGCTCTTAGGGCTCCACAGGACAGAGCAGAACGGTCCCTGGGGGTTTCTTAGATCATACGTCCTTAAGAGGTGCAAGTGATCCTATCAGGCAAGACTGACCAGATAAAGTCCCAAACACAAAGTTTCGGAGAACGGCCCAGTTGATGAGAACATCTGTTTTGGGGAGGGGAGGGCATCCCTTGGGAGATGGAAGCTTAGAGTTGGCAATGTCCCCAGACTTTGCCTTTTGTATCGCTTTCTTTGTGTCCTTCTTGGCACTGAAACACTGTCAGATACCGAAGACCTCATGAATAGAAACAGAACATTGTCAGAAGTAGGGCCAGAAGATGAGCCCGTGGGGTGGACAGGCGCTCAAAGCATGACTGACGAAGAGCTGCCTTCTCAAAGTAGCGTTGACCATAATGGCTCGAATGGAGGAAACCTCTGGGACTTTAGTTTGCAGATGGAGCACGATTCAAAATGAGAAGAGACAGTTGCAAACCTTTGTTAATAATCAGAACTTTCCTACAGATCGATATTCTAGGTGTTAGTATGCGGAAGTGGCCTGGTATTGGCCATGTTGAATCAGAAAACCATATGGCTTATTATGTATGGAATGACAGATTAACGAGGGATAGCAGCACATTCACCATCAAAAAGGACATTTCAAGATCAACCTGGAAGTATGATGCTGGCTGTGAAAGGATAGTAGCTATCTGCATATATGAAAATTCAATCAATACAGCTATTTTTGAAACTTACTCACCAACCACTAAAGCTGATGAAAAAAACTGAAGAATTCTATCAACAGCTTTAGTTAGAAATTGATCAACAGGTAGTCAGGATAACTGATAATTATTGGAGAGTGGAATGCAAAAGTTGGAAGCCAAGAGGAAAGAACAGTAGTTGGAACATATGGTCTGGGTGATGAAAATGAAGTTGGAGATCGCATGATAGAATTTTGCGAGACCAATGACTTTTTAATCACAAATACCGTCTTGTGACAACACAAAAGACTAGACCTGTGAACTTCTCCAGGCAGAGTACACAGACATCAAATAGACTACATCTGTGAGAAGATGAAGGCAAAGCTCAAGATCAGCATCTACAACAGGTTAGGAGGAGCTGGCTGTAGAACAGATCACCAATTGCTCATATGTAATTTCAAGTTGAAGCTGAAGAAAACTGGAAAACAAGTCCATGAGAGTCAAAATAAGACCTTGATTCTATCCCACCTGGATTCTGAGCACAGCCCAAGAACAGATCGCTGCATTCAACAGGAATGACAGAGGACCTGAAGAGCGGGGGTGGGGGTGGG